AAAAAAAAAATGGATTTAATAGCCTGGATATGTAAAGTTTTAAAAAAAGATATACTTTTTGGATGTCATCTACTGATTGCAGTTATTTATATTTCGAAGTAAAATTAGTACTGACAGTTTGAAGACAAGACTTTCAACAGTATCAGTGGTACAAATTTTATTAACTTGTCAGAATTATGTTTATGTCATTCTTTTGTATGTAAGTGCGTGCTTGTGGTGGCATGCAAATAAAGGGTTTTTTTCCCTTTTAATTCTGAACATTGAATATTTTTGTCCCATTAAAATTTTAGATTGCACTGTAGTTGGCAGCTGAAGGCAATACTAAGTCGATACCAGCACATAATACAACAGGTAAGTCCTTCAAGAGGCATATGTAGATTCAAAAGCAGAATGTTGTAACAAACGAGTCGAGTAGTTGCTGAGTTTTGTAGATTTGATACATTATACAAAATATCTTCACTTTTGAGACTTTTCAACAGGTACCCCAGAAACTTTTATGTTAAGACTGATTTACATTCCTCGAATCCGTTCACCCTTCACCCAAGCCTATCACCTGAGTAATCTATCTGCTTCGATTGTGCAGTAAACTCACCTTCATTGAGTCAGTGCCCACTCATGGCGACACTGTAGGACAGGGTTGAACTTCCCCGTGAGTTTCTGAGACTGCAACTGTTATGGGAGTAGAAAGCCCAATTTTTCTCCCTCAGAGTGCCTGGTGGTTTTGAACTGCAAACCTTGCAGATCACAGCCCAATCCATAACCACTGTGCCACTCGGGTTCCTTGATTGCCTAGTCGTGGTAGGGAAAAACATGGACCCATTCTGGAGTTACAGGATGTCTTTGGCAAAAATGGGATCATAGCTCCAGATTAGCCGCCACCAAAGGGAGGGGTGGACATCAGTTAGGATCATGTGTCCTTGGATAATGTGGGTAGTTGTCAAGGCAGTAGGGGTGAAATATCAAAAGAATTAATCTATTCTTAATGTCTAGGTTCTTCTTTCTGAAAATTGCCTTCAAAGAGGAGAGAACAGATTTTTAAAAACCCCTATTACTAAAACAACAAAAAATAATGAAAGGCCTCCTGTGGAAAATCAATGTTCTTAGAACTGCGCTTCTGTAGTCATTTTGGTGCTTGCCCAGATTTCTCTCTCTCTCTCTCTCTCTCTCTCTCTCTCTCTCTCTCTCTCTCGGAGTTAGCTTATTATCCATAACTGACAATGACAGTCACTCTCACAATGAGTGTTACTGAGCTAAATATAGCAGAGAAACTATTTGATTTGTAGCATGTACGCAGGCTTCACTGGCAGTATAATTAACTGCAGTTGTTAAAGGGGATGCTTAAATGATTTCTCTCTGACTTCTCCCTCTGCCCACCCCACATGACTATATAGTACACTCAAGTTTAAGAGATGAACCTGAGGTGTTTGAATAGCCTGAACAAAACTGTTGAAAAGGACTAACTATAATGATAAGACCTATTACCCCTTTTCCCTACCAATTAGCCAAGAGGGTTCTGGGGATTGGGGGGGGAATCTTACTTATTGCTGTTTCTCCTCCTACTCCCAGTTGGCAGATACCCAGATTAGTTTGAATCCCTTTTATGTGATAAGAAGTTAAGAAGAAGGCCGATTGGAGACATTGGTTACATTCTTCATGTTGGGCACCTTCAGCACTCTCCTTTCCTGAGTCATACCTCCCCCATTAACATAAAGCCACTGCCCTCAAGGATTCTGCCTCATCTGGGCACAGTGACTCCCTGTGGGTTTCTGAAGTGTAACTGCTTATGGGAGTAGAAAGCCCAGTCTTTCTCCCGAGCAGCTGCTGGTGGTTTTGAACTGCTGACTGTGCCGATCTCAGTCCAACTCATAACCACTGCACCACCAGGGCTGCCTAAGAAACAACACAGTGTTTTGCTTTCAGAGAAATTGTGTAGTGTTGTATTAAAGAATGCAAACAGTGTTAAACAACATAATTTTAATTGCTTGCTGCGTTTACTCTATTAACAATGAAGAATTTAAAGGAAATAGAACAACTGAAATATAAATTTTGTCATTCACATCTATAGGCTTTAATTTATTGATACATTGACTAATTTGAAAAAAATATGAGCTTGTAATGAAAAGAAAGAGCCCTGGTTGTATTATGTAAGTACTTTGGCTACTCGTTGCAAGGTTTCAGGTTCAAACCCACACAGTAGCTCCATGGGCTAAAGACATGGAGATCGATTCCTGTAATGATTTCCAACTAGCCAACCCACTGCCATCAAATTTATTTTTACTCATAGCAACGCTTTATAGGGTTTCCAAGGTTGCAAATCTTTATGGAACTGATAACTTCAGCTCTGTTTCATGAAGCAGCTGGAGGGGCTTGAACTGGGAACCTTGTGGCTAGCAGTCCAACACACCTGATAGCCAAGAAGGTCCTATGAACAGTTCCAGTCAGTCACATAGGGTTTCTGTGAGCCGAAATCAACTTGACAGTACACCCGAGCAACAGTGGAAGGACCAGAGATGCCTGTAAGGTCAGGGAAGGATCCAGGCACAACACACTGTTAGGGTTTTGTTATTATGGTGCTTGTTGGGTGTGTGTTGTTGAATTAGTTCTGACTCACAGTGACGCTATGTACTTTCAATATTATACTTTTAAGATATAGTTATAACTAAGCGTACTCTTTTCTTTTTCCCCACAGTTTTATGGACATAATTCATGTACTATACAAATGTATATGTTAATTTATTTAAGTATATTATTTAATATAATTAATTATATTTTATAATTATATAAAATTATTTAAATATATTAAAAGGAGTTGAGCAACCATTATCACAATCAATTTGAAAGCATTAACAAAATTTTTGAAAGCATTTTCATCATCATTGTTCCCGTTATCATTAGTTCCCCATTCACCCCAATCTCTCCTGCAATATATAACCTTTAGGCGCTATTAATCTCATTACTGTTTTTATGGATTTACCCGTCCTATATTTCATATTATGAAAATCAAACAAACAAGCAAAGCCCCCACAGCGTCAACAAAACCTCAATGAAAGAAAGTAGAAGGCAATAGAAAATAGAAAAACTAAAAATGGGTCAAAAGGGAAAACAAACGATGCTAAATTTTAACCTAACTACAATTGAAACAATCCACTGTCCCATGTTCTCAGTCTGAGGGCAATACTATTCACGTGGCTGCTTGGTGGTTCGAGGACTCTCTGATTTCTTCACAGCAGTTTGCTACAGCGTCCATTTCTTCATGAGGGCAAATATTGAGCAGAGCCAGATCATAAGAACTAATTGTTCTTAGATTAGGGCTTCCATTTAAGTGTGAACTCAAAATCCAATCAGATAGAGGCAGCATTATCAGCTTGTTGAGAAATAATTTGAGTAATTAAGTAATTGAAAGAGTTAAGTAATTTCAGTAACCTTGAGACATTTGGTAATTCTAATAATACTATCATTAATCTAGTCAGTGGTATATAATCTAAAAGTATGAGAAAAGCAAAATATGCATATGTAGGAAAGTTTGTTTTAGGATGAAATACATAAGATGTTTGATTTACAGGTTAAACATTAATTAATTGAACACTGTTTAAGACTGAAATGAGCGTTAGACACAAGACAAAAATGTCACCAACACTCATTCACTGAGACAAAACTGTCTTCCGATTAGCACATCTCAAAAAACTAAGTGTGAAAATAGCAAGTAGATGGCAGTCCTAAGTTGCTAATAGCTCTTTTTTAACATTCATGTTGGCTTCTATCTTATTTCTATTTGCATGAACTAAGTATGCATTGAGCAAATGGAACTCACTGGAAATGCTTTTGATTTAGAGAATGCAGCATTCTCCTGATCTGGTGAGCTTTATGGTGGAGTTGAAGATGATCTTGGTAAGAATTACTATTAATTTTTAAGCTGTTAGCACATTCTGTAAAGATTAATTGTTTTGGTCCTTCCTTTTGAAATGAACATGGTTAGAATTTAGTACTTCTCAACACACAGTGCTTTACACTGTGCATACATGCAGATGGTATGTCACCGGAACTGCATGAGGAACGGAACTGTGGGTAACAACTACGTGGTCTGAATTGTATTACACAGTACATTTGGCACTGATGCTGCCCAGGTGGTGAAAAAATTCAATGTATTCCTGGACTGTCAAAGAATGTAACATCTAAAGCAAGATTAGATAGTCACATTAAACAGTTAAGGATCTAATGCAAGGGGATACCCAACCCAAAAAACTGGAATGTTTTCCCAAAGCTATACATTTAAATTTTTTCACAAAACAACTTATCACTTTCCAACTGCTCCCTATTACATTTAACATTTGTCAAATGTGATTCCATTCTTGGAAACATGTTGCAAATTCACTTGTTTGTATGGCTGACAGCACCTCCCTCATTTTTTTGTTTATTCACCTCTTCTATATTGTCAAATCGCTGTCCTTTCATGTCCCTCTGCATTTAAAGAAACAAAAAGAAATCATACAGAGTGAGGTCAGATGCAGGGGGCAAGAGAGGCGTGTTGTTTTTTGCCCAAACCTAGTGCAATGAGTTGGCTGGGTGAGCAGGTGCCTTGTGGTGGCAAAACCAGTCCCCCGTCTGCCACAAAGTATGCCCTTTTTGTCATATGCCATGCAATCTTTTCAGAACCTCTAAATAGAAAGCTTGATTTACAGTCTGACCAGGTGGAACAAACTCCAAATGCAGTACGTCTGTTCAGGAAGTTGACAGATGTTCAAAATGAGGTTTGCATCAATTGACATTTCACCATTTTTGAAAGGAAAACCACTTGTACACTTTAGTTTTTCCCATAGCACTGCCCTTTTAAGTTGTGTTAAACATCACAATAGTTTCTGCGTCATTTTTCCAGAGCAGAAAACAAAGTTTCATAGCCACACACTCTTCTCTTAAAATCGGCCATCACAAAAAACGAGGCTTGAGCGAAACTGCTTTCACTAGAAAATTCACTTTGACCAGAGATAACTTCCCAGGCGCCGCATCGGATGCACTGACTCAGAGCAAGTTGCTTGATGGTCACTTCACAGGGGAAATGCATCCTACGAAAGCTCTGCCCCGCAGAACTTTCTTCCGGTTTTTTGGGGGGTGCCCCTCATATATTGCAGAAACATATTAGAGCTGCATTTCTTTACTCATTTTAGTTCATTGATTACCAAAAGGTAGTATGAAAAGTAAGGGAATAAACACACAGAAAGATATCAATGAATAGCAAAACCCGATGAGAAGAAGTCCCCTAGTGTAAAGATTTATAATCTCAGAAACCTTACACGAGCTGACTCAGTATTTGGTTTGCTTTTGGCAGTCCAGACCACATGATCACCTGTTGTTTATGGCTACATTTTAGTTGTTCAAATAAGAAATCTGCCTAGTTAGCAGCTTCAAAGTAATTGCTCGCTCTAGCCTCAGTGATTCCAGTGGTGTTTGTATTGATATTTTTTTAAACCTAAATTTTGGTGCTCCGAGGGACATAAATCATACTGAAGAGCTCACAAATTGGCCAAGGAAAGGGACTGGGATACAGTCAGATAGATGGCAAAATACGTAGACCTACCTGAACCTATTGCCATTGGCTCTAGTGACCCTAGGGTGTACACGGGTGTACAGGGCTGTACGTCCTATGGGAGCAGATAGCTTCACCTTTCTTGGACCTATCCAGAGGAGAGAGGAGTCCGGGCCCTAATAGTGAAAGGGTTAAGCATCCCCTACTAATCTCAGGGCTGGTTCACACCTACCCATTGGTTCTGTGGGAGAAAGTCCTGGCAGTGGGCTTTTGAAGAAGTGATGGGCTGCTTGTGCTCGGTCACATGGAGTTGCTAGGAATCGGAATAAACTTGAAAATGCCTAGCAACCACAACAAAGGAGGCAAGGCAGAGCCTAGAGGTGATAAAAGAAACGGGCAGGTCGGTGTTTATTACGATAGCAACAGATTTTAGTTTGTCAGAATGTGTTTTATAGTGGCATATAAATATATTAACCTAGACAGTGGACTCAGAGTTCAGCCTTTTCTTTAAGGCTCGTGGTTCTGTGTAGCGAACCCAGAAGGGGAAGAAAGAAAGAGGCCATGGCAATGAGGCTTTGTTTTGGTTTAAATTAACCGGCTAGGCATAATAGTACAAGAGAATATTAAGATCTTTTCACGGTGTAGTAAATGACATTTTGCCTGACCTTCAGCACAGTCCTTCAGCTTTTTTGTGCCTCTTTTTTACAAAAAGGGGGGTGAGCAGCTAGATTTTCCATGAAAGTAGTGGCTGCTTTTGGTTACATGCAACAGATACATGTCCCAGCAAGTCCTTGTCTAGCACCGCACAGCTGATTGCAGGTTTCCCTTTTTCTGCTTGTTTTAAACAGGAAGCTGCTTTAAAGAATAAGCAAGAGCTGCACGCACCCCCTCCCCCCCAGTACTACTCCGGCCTCCTTCAAGAGCTGGGAACACTCGGCTGGGACAAGTACGTCATGTCACAATGTGTTTCAGAGTGCCTGGCTTCCCACATTCCAGTTGAATATATTTCTGGTTTGAGCAACTTCCCTTATACCTGCTTTTGGTCAAAAGTGTTTTGTTGTCAGTAGAGTATCTTATTTTTATTGTGGCTATCAGCAACAGGAATAATATAAACACTTAATTTAAAAGTGCTAAATATAATTTGGGAAAAAATTGTTTTATATATACCTAGTAGGTAGGTGAGCCTGCTTTGAAAACATTGGCCGTATTTCTCTTGGAAAAGTCTCTTGCGATCAAGTTTAGCTTCTGTCTTAGTGTGTATGCTTTGAAAAAATGACTCTTATTAGTAGGCTTTTTATAGACTTTCCACTTTGAACTAAATAAAAGAAAAGACACACCAATTGAGTTCTTATCAGCCCTTAACCACTATTAATAATTTTTTTTACCATTTACTTGTTATTTCATTTTAGATTATTGATCATATAAACCAATGACTGACTGACAGTGTCTGTCTGGGAAGAGTGTGAGATTTTTCCCACCACTCAGCTTTTCTGAAGAACCCTGGTGGCAGAGCAGGGTTGCCCTGTGGGCTGGTCAGCAGTTGCACCCACTGAGCACCCTGCCGTAGGGAGATCAGGCTCACTGCTCCTATAAAGACTTACATCCTTGGAAACACATAGGGGCCTTTCTGCTCTGCCCAGTAGGGTCATTCTGAATCGAAATCAACTTGATAGCAGTGGGTGAGTTTTCTTGAATATGTTCAAAACCTGTTATAGTCTATTAGTCGATTTTAAGGTAATATTCCATGCATTGGCCTACTGGGAGCTAACCTAGGAAGAACCAGGAAAATCAGCCGTTTAAAAAGAAAGAAACCAACATAACTCCAAGGCAGGGTATATGTCCTTTACTGTGATTTACGCTGCTGCCTGTGTTCCCGAAGAAACATTAGAGTAGAAATTGTAGAGTCCCAACTTACTCCCACTCAGGTTTGCTTCTAGAGGTGATCCCATTGCCAGTATCGGGGCTCTCCTGTGGCCCCAATAATCTCCTCTATCCTTTATAAAGCTGCTGACTAAGGGAGCAATTCCACCTCTCCTCCACACCTCTTGTCCTCCTCTTGGCCACCACGCTTGAACAAGTGGGCCAGATCTGTGTTAGTGCCCCTCTGTATAGAGATGGGTCAGCCATTTTCCCAGGCACATACCTTAGCTAGACTTCCCAATTGTCTTTTATGAGAACATCTCAATGTCTTACTTACTGTCTTCTAGATTAGCGGTGAAGATGTGTAGATTATTTTATCCAGGAGCCAGAGAGAATGTATGGCTCTATTCCATTTATACTTCCATGGGTTCTTACAACTTCAGATTTCACTCGCCAAGACGGAATGGAGGTTCCTGTAGCAGATAATAGTATTCCCACAAGGGATTGCATGTATAGGATATCATCAGAGATTTTACATGTTGTCTACGTTTCATGCTCGGGTTTTCGTGCCATCAGCGAAGCCAGCCTGTTGCTGTTGAGTGGACTCTCGTCCTGGGAACCCCGTGTGTGCCAGTCAGAGTGCAGCTGTTCCGTAAGGTTTTCCGTGGCTGATCTCTTGCAGGTAGATGGCCAGGTGTTTCTTCCGAGGTGCCTCTGGTGAACTCACACTGCCCGCTTTCGACAGTTGAGACTTGCTGATGATCACACCTGTAAGGGGCTCTCGTTTGGATTATGGAATTGTGTTTGTTTCACTCCCTGCTATAATTCTTATGGATGGATGCCAGGTCACTGGCTTGAAATAAGGGATGCCACAGGAAACAGCCCTGTACGCTGTACTAGGATGTCCTTGGAGGAAGTCTTCCGTTCCATGACGCAGTCTTGTCTTTCAACTAAAAAGAGCGCTGCACAAGTCTTCTCCTATTGTAGGTGAGCCATGGTTCTTTGCCTTACCCTCCCTCAGAGAGATGGCCCATTCTTAGTGACTCCCATCACCATCACCTAGGTTTGAGTTACAGATACTTTTGTTTCTATCACCCTCCATTACACTGTTATGCAACAGCAAATTGACTTCATTACTTCCAGCAAGCAAATAACACATTCTTACCCAGCACTTCCCCTCCTTTGGCATAAACCAATCAATCACACAAAAACAAAAGCAGCCACCCTTCCTAGGTCCTTCTTTTGTGATGATTGCACCTCGCTTCCAGACATTCCTTTGGTCATGTGTGCTGATTGTTTTGATTTATTAATTTCTAATTAGCATGCTACTCTTCCAACTGGCGTGGTGGAATAAGAGAATGTAATTTTTAATGGCCTCTTTTTTGACAGACTACGTTGGGTGTAACCCGTTGGATACATTTCTGTTTTGAATATTTGCATTACTCATTTGAATATGGTGTCCAGAATTACGATGTGGCCATTCCATAAAACCTTCTGTGGCTGTGAGTTAAGCATTGAGCTGCTAATTGCAAGGTTGGTTGTCCAGACCCACCAGCTACTGCAGAGGTGAGAACCGAGGCCCGCTCCTGGACGGAGTAGAGATCTGCCTTCTTAGAACGCCTGCATCAGCTCTCTATAGATCAGAATGAATTTGAAGGCTGTGAGCTTTGTGTAGTAATTTCTTAGTAATAAACATATTCTGAGATTTTTATGTTTGATATTGGGAAGTGAAAGTGCATTTCTATAAAAACTTTTTAAGTAGAAATTCTACTCTCTAAGTATCTATTTTGAAACTGAAATTTAGTTTCTTGCGAGTTGTGTTAGACCCGGTTGACTAGAGAAACAAATCCAGAGACACTC